AAAAAATAAAAAAAAATAAAAAAATAAAAAAGAGACAGAGTGTTTAGCAATTCCTTCATCTGCTCTGACAAGGGATTCCCAGATCATCTTTAATCCCATTCACTGCAAAAACCCAAAGCTAACTCACAGGATGGAGGATAGAGGGAAAGCTAGTAGACACAGAAAATGCACAGCACTACAACAAATCACTCGCAGCCCATCAGCACACAGCAGTGCCAGCTGGGCCTAGGGTGGAGGCTGACCTGCATCAATGGCTTGCATCAGACACTCATACGTCGTTTGCACTAGTTTCCGTGCTCCCTCATCCACATCACCAACAAAAAACGTCTCATTTAGGTCCCCATGATAACCACTGCGGTAAAGAGTGATGTCCACTGCAAAAGAATATTCAAATATAAAGGTACTTATTTTCACTTCAAAATAAAATAGTTCTATTTCAAAATAGAAAGTTTTTACAACATCAAGCAACTTAATTAAAAAAAATAGCTTCTGTAGTCTCTGATTATACACCAATGAATATATGCTTACCACTGAACAGAAATTCCTTGAGGGTAATTCATTCTGCTCATTGTGAGGCAGAGGAATATGGCCACACAGTACATACCATATGGTGGGTTATTATAGTTATTAGATCACACGTAGCAAAAAAAAGTTAAGCAGGATAGTTATCAAGATAAATAACAAGGGTAATATTAAACTGAGGACTCTGCTACATTTTTACATTAAATAAAAATATTTTCACTTATTATGCATATTATATGTATGTACTTATTATACACATATAATAAAAATAACAAGGCTTATATGAAAAACAGAGCTTAGCATGGTGGTGCATGCCTGTTATTCCAGTTCTCTAGGAGGCTGAGGAAGGAGAATCCTAAGTTGCCTCATCTGGGCAACTTAGAATTTGGTGAGATCTGTAAGTGTAAAAAATAAAGAAATGCATAGGGCTAGGAATCCCCAGGAAAAATGAACAGATGGACAGAAGAAAGAGAGGAAAAGGGAAAGGGAAAGGGAGGGGGAACAGGCAGAGGGAAAGACAGTGAGGGGAGGAGGAAAGAAGGAGAGGAAGAGAGAGGACAGGAAAACAGGGAGGGAAGGGATGGGGCTGGCCTTAAAACCAAGGAGACTCTAAACAAAAGCCATAACTGAAGCAATAACAATGGCAGTAAAAACAGTATTATATCACAATTAAATCTCTTCTATAATTCAAAACAAGCATCATAATTATCAACTCTAAGCAATCTTTAACATTTGGGCTCGAGCTTCCTAGAGTTAAGGAGAATGACACTAATTTCAACAATATTAAAAATGTCACCCAGGAAAGCCTGCGTCAATACTATTTTACAGGAAAATGCCTTTGTACCCTCTGCTTTACACTTGCAGCGTCCCAAAATGACAGCACAGAGGTTCCAAAAGCCACTCCACTCAGGAAAGGTGCTGCTGTAAGATGTGCACTTGTTTTCATACAGTCTTCACTTATTATTAAAGGTTTCTCTTACATGTTAAGAAAAGCCTACTCTGATCTCTTCAAAACTATTAGTGGACTTTAAAAAAAAATTGCATCATATTCAACATTACTTTATTTCATTGAGATCTTTCACCTATTTACCATATGAGATGAGCATTAAAAAATACATACTATTCTACACATATCAAACTTAACATACCTTGCAAACACTACACACACACAATTATAAAAAAGCTTCCACAGGTTTTAGAGTGATGCAAAATTCTTTAAGAAGGGAAAAGTGCACATGTAGCAATGAGGTCAAAGAACTAAAGTCAGTAACAGACTCCCACAGTGCTTGTTTGCTCATGATAACAAAAACCACATTCACATATTTCTTACCATTAACAATGTCACCTTCTTGCAAAGGTCGTCTATCTGGAATTCCATGGCAAATCACTTCATTCACTGAGGTACAACAAGACTTTGGGAAATTATAATAATTCAAAGGAGAAGGATAGCAATTTCTTGCAATGCAGGCCTATAATAAAGAGAATAAAATTTTGAATGTACAAAGGGAAAAATCTAATGCAACAAATCAAATTTTAAAATATAAAAAATGGGCTGGGGAGATAGTTCAATGGCATAAGTGCATGGCAAACAAAAGGTCCCAAATTTGATCTCTGGTACCACTAAATAAATAAATAAATAAAATCATGCTACTATAATGAAACATTTAATATTTTATTTTAAAAGATAGCCCTATTTTTGTTTCACTTCTAGTGAGTGTGTGTGAGTACACGTGAGCACATGCACACATACACATGTTGGTTTTCCGGATGGTGGGTTATTAAGTTGCCCAGACTGCTCTCCAACTTGTGGACCCAAAGAGATCCTCAGCCTCAGCCTCCCTAGAGGCTGAGACACAGCTATCCATCATTGCAGCTAGCTGGGAGGTATGATCTTAAAGAGTGAGTACACAATGAGTTTTTGCTAGCCAGATACAGTGTGGTTTCTCTACTCTTTAAGTCAGAGTCTCACTGAGTCACTAAACTTTCCATGCTAAGGCCTAAATTGCCATGCTCCTGTCTCAACCTCCCAAGAATGATGAAATTAAAGGCATGTACTGCCATGCAGCTTATCAGGCACTTTTAATATAATTGTAATTTCTTATATAGAAATAAGCCTCTATCTCTACAACCAAAAAATGAATGCTAGTATAATTTTAAAAAATAGTTAACTCTCTGAGACATTCTAAGCACTATATTCAGCAAACAACAAAAGTATGTTCTGGCCTGTATACCAAGACATACTTTACCTGGACATTTTAGGACATTTTACACAATTGGTAAATCATGGCATATTCTCTGCTTCCATACTGCCACACAATCTTCATGTTTCTTAATGTACCATAACAGCAATTCTACTACTAAGGGAACTCTAAATTAATCCGGTTTTATCTACAAAGGAACTTACAGCCAGTAACTATATTCCTATAGCTTTCCCTGTGTTTATAGATATACTTTTTAGAGCAGTATAAACAGCAATTTAGAGTACATAGAATCAAATTGTTCTGGTTTTTTTTTTTTAATGTATTTTAGTACAGGGACTACAGGGTCTCACTACTCAGATCAGACAACTCAAATTATCTTGACTGAAAAATGCCAACTCCATTACTTAAAAGCTGCATACCTTGGACAATTTAATTAATATCTCATCCTCAGCTTCCTTTTCTATAAATAGGCATGACACTAGCACTTACTGCAAGACTGCTGGGGTATAGAAATGAATTCAAGTGAAAGAAAGAACCATATTCACGTATTTCTCACTATTAACAATTTCACCTGGCCATCAAAAGCACTCAATATGTTTACTGCACACTGAACACATTATAGTAACACACACAACAATATCCCAAAACCAAGACTCAGAAATTCTAAATTGAAAAATTTATAAACATTCTTATAGTTTGACACCTATCAAATTCTCTCAGACCTGCTATATCTATTCCCCTGCGATATCTATCCCTAATGCTACCATTGTAGTGTTGCAAGAGTGCCCATTTCATCACTCCCACATAGATATAAACATCTTGAAAACATTTACTGTAAATGTACTATAATTTGTCTTGTCTGACTACCACAGCAGATTTTTTAATTTACATATTTGGTTCAGGGCCTTACTACACAGCTCAGACTCAAAGAGATCCTTCTGTTTTCGGCTTCCCAAGTGCTGGGATTATAGGTATATGCCACCATGCCTGGTCTCGGTGGCTAGCTCAGAGCGCCTGGGGGTGGGGTTAGTGCAACCTGTGGTGCCCGTGATCAAACCCCAGTTTCAGGGCTCGCCTAAGCAGGCACTTCGTCCACTGAGCGATCTCGCCAGCCCTACCGGAGCACATTTAATCTGTTTTCTCTGCTATAACTACCCGGTGAACATTTTATGAACAGCATAGTCATATAATGTGAATGCTCATGTATTAAAGTCTTTAGATCTCTGAAAGTTAACTTTTATTATTTTTTTAAAAAAAAGATAATGGACGGGGGCCACGGGATCCTGAATAGACTCAGAGCACAGGCCCAGCGCGTGAGTGAGACGACCCAGGGCCTTCCGGATTCTGAATAGACCCAGAGCGCAGGCCGGGCGAGTGAGTGAGACGATCAAGGGCCCGTGGATCCTCATTTGACCCAGGCTGAAGGTCCAGCACGGAACCCATCAGCAGAACTCCCTGCAAAGAGGCTAGAGGCAAGACCCACCCAGCTGATTCAGGAGCAGAACATCTTGCCAGAGAGACACAAAGGGTT